AAAATAAGATGTTAAAAATATATTTTAATACTCTCTTTTTATAGAGTTGGTGGCAAGGTAGCTTGGTTAGAACATGGTACATGCTACCAAGGTAGCCAAGGTCAAAGATTTGATCTTCATGAGTAATAGGTTCTTTAGTATAAGAAGAAATCTTTGTTGTCACCCAGTTCAGCTTTCACCCAAGGAAGGAATCTTTTCTTTAGCATCTCTAATGTGGTCATTTAAACTTGGCTTAAACATTTTGGATCTTTTATGTTAAATAAAATATATTATTTAAAAACTTAATATTTCCATTTCTGAAAACAGTATTTTTTAAATATATTTTTATTGTTGATAGAATTACAGATATCTCCCATTCCCCTCTCTTCACACCCCACCTCCCAGCCCCTCCCCACCTCCCAGGCCTTCACTACCCTATTGCCCGTGTCCATGGGAAAACAGTATTTTTTTGAAACTGTTTCTTCCAGTGCCATAGAACACAGCTCATTTTATGAATATGCCATTGATCACAGGATCAGTCTCCAGTATCAGGAGAAATTAATGCTAAGCATTCATATGCATATGAAGGGCAGCTCATACTTTTAACATAGTTCAAATTTTTTTTTCTTCTAAATTCAGAATGAGATATTTTAAAATAAGCTAGTTTTAAAGAAAATAAGTATATTATTACAGTTCTGGAGAGAGTCTAGAAAAATCAGTTAAATTTTCATCTTTTTCTCTCCTCATCATTGTAGATATTGAGACAAATTGTTTAGAAGAAAAAAGCAAGAGAGACTATTTTACACAATTGGTATTAGCGTGTTTGGTAAGTTTTAAAAAAATACATTCCCTTTCTAAATTTTACATTGAACAATTATAATCACAGCTAATCATGTTAATGGAGAAGGATATTGACATTCAGTTGATTATAAGGTATGATTTGGGTTTTGAAATGGAATGCTTTGTAAAATTAGACATGCTAATTATGTCTATGAAATAGGCATGCTACCATATCACTTCCATTCCTGACCTAGTAGGTTTCTAACTGAGTAAAAAGGTAAGCATCTAGCAAGTGAGAAGAAATGATGTGGACATCTTTTAAACAAACAATTTTTCATAAACTCTTTATTAGGCTAGGAGAAAAAGAATGGAGGTAATTTAAAAACTATAGATTCTAGAACTTGTTATAATCATTGTCTATGAAATGATTTTATGTTCATTAATTTAGAACCAGGGAGAAATGCCATTACTCAGACCTAGAAGAATGTCTTTGTTTTTTCTGTATTAGAATTATTTGACCTAAACAGTAGAAATCAAAGAAGGCTTAAGTGCTGTATTGTCTTTAAGAAAATGCAGTTGACAGACTCAATAGGTTGTAAATACCATACATAGACTTTCTTAGCAAGTTTTTAAAAAAAGCTATGTTGTATTTTTCAATATTTGGAGAGTCATCATTTTTGTTAAAGTTTTTAATTTTGTTATAAATTATAAGCTGATATCTAATGTGATATTTTCATTAATTATTTTGAGTGTATTTAAGATTGTGAATGCACAGTTGGAATGCTGAATAATAAATGGCCTTTAATATTTTCAAATACAGTATTTAGTTTCAGACACAGTTCTAAAGGAACGCTTGGATCCAGAAACATTGGAATCATTAGGGCTTATCAAACAATCACAGCAATTCAATCAAAAGTCAGTTAAAATCAAGACAAAACTCTTGTAAGTACATGCATTTTTATGTTGTACATTAAGTACCTGAGTATGTGTTTTAGTTCTCATTTTGAATACTAGAAGTTTCTTTTTTTAATTAAATTTATAGAGTGACATTAGTTAATAGGATCATATAAGCTTCAAGTATATATCTCTTTTTTTAAAAGTTTAAACGTGAAGTTAAGATTTTATTGTGAATTAAAGGGAAATAATACATCCTCGGGCACCAAGAAGGTGGGGTGGGCAGGCTCTAGAACAGTGGTTCTCAACCTGTGGGTCGCAACCCCTTTGGAGGTTGAACGACCCTTTCACAGGGGTCGCCTAAGACCATCCTGCATAACAGATATTTACATTACGATTCACAACAGTAGCAAAATTACAGTTATGAAGTAGCAACGAAAATAATTTTATGGTTGGGGTCACAACATGAGGAACTGTATTTAAAGGGCCAGAAGGTTGAGAACCACTGCTCTAGAAGCACTGCCTCAAGTGTATATTTCTATGGTACATGATCTGTATATTGTATTGTGTGCCCTCCACCCAAAGTCAAATCATCTTCTGTCACCAACTTTCTAAAGGCAGTTTGAAGATTTTATTTTGTTGCTGTTAGCATGTCTTGTGTTTCTTTCTTTTTTAAAAATTTTCTTTATTGATTAAGGTATTACATGTGTCCTTGTTTCTTTCTTTTAAAAGTAGCCCATGAGTCAGCAGTGAACATTATCATGTGAAACCAATGTTAATTTTTTTCATATTAAAAGTTAAAATAACATTCAGTGCTTTCATTATTACCAATAAAATATAGCTATGTCTATACTCTAGGTATATTCTTAGTCAGTGATGGAAATAGTGCTATGTTATTGTTCCTTGGGATTAGCCATATCTTTTCCTTGTGTTACTGGTTTCACCTGTGTAATTAACACTGGGGTGTCTCTTATGAACAACAGTAATTTTCTATCCTAAAAGATAAACAAAGAGGTAAACTTTCAACAGCTATTCTTATGATATATATATATATATATATATATATATATATATATATATATATTAGAGATAAGAAAATTCAATAACAGTACATTACTTTTATTCAAGCTTGTTAATTGAAATTAATTTTATCTCCTTTATGATGTTTATGTAATTTCAGTTATAAGCAGCAAAAATTCAATTTGTTAAGAGAAGAGAATGAAGGCTATGCCAAGCTGATTGCTGAATTGGGGCAAGATTTATCGGGAAATATTACTAGTGATTTAATCTTAGAAAATATCAAATCTTTAATAGGTAAGACATATATCTATATATAGTATGTGTTACTAACATAAGGTTTTTATTTTTGTTAATCCTCACCCACGGTGTGTGTGTGGGGTGGGGGGTGAGGGGAGAAACATCGATGTGAGAGACATCGACTGGTTGCCTCCCGCCCCATACTGGGGCTGGGGATCGAACCTGCAACCGAGGTATGTACCCTTGACCGGAAATTCAACTCGAGACCCTTCAGTGTGTGGGCCAATGCTCTAACTACTGAGCAACACCGGCCAGGGCAAGATAGTTTTTTTTTTAGCTGTGCAGAATATCCATAAAGAAGAAATGAGTGTATTCTCTATAGGCTTTTTTTAAATTAAGAAATGAAAGAAGTGTCCAGCTTGTACTTTAAGATTTTTATCAGTAATAATTAAATTTGAGATGATATTTATGAGAAATCTTTTTTGTCACTGTTACCTATGGTGTTTGTATTAGTTTCTGTTCTCTCTAGTATTTCTATTTTTAATTGTAAGTATTTTTTAATAATCTTAAAGGGGGCAGATAATAAGTAAGCTAATGTGAAACTACAATAAAATCTTTGGTGTGAACTCCTAAAACTTGAAAATGTTTAGTTCTTTTGAACTTGATTTAAAAATATCTTTACCAGGGACATTGATATGCACCTTATTTTATATTTACAACAGTCTATTAAAGTAAGTGTAGCAGATGCTGTAAAAGTGTAACAGGAAAGTGTTATTCTCCCTATCTTTTAAATAGAATTCACTTTTTAAATTTGCATTGAACATTTGGAGGAAATAGTTGGCTTCTATAGAAAGAGCAATGAATGGTAGAAAAATAGGGTAATACTGATTTTTCAAGAATGGAAAGAATTTTTGCTATTATGTTTTAAGTGTTACACTGTTTTAGGGAAGACTTTGCAACACTTATATGTCTTAGATTTTGAGACCTCTCAGAGAAGTTATATTCCCTGCTTCACTGGTTATATTTTAGGGGGTGCTTATTCTCAATTTCTCAGTTCTTTCTTTGTTTTTGAAATTTATGTATGACTAAGAGAGAGGTGGTATCCCAATCTTTATCCCCTTCCTCTAATGCTGTGTGTAGGGACCCAGCTTTGGCTTTTGGTGATCAACAGGTATGGAAGGTAAGGACCTTCTGGTTTAAATTTACTCTTTTCTTTAAAGTAAGCCTAGTTCTGGCAGCTGATTGACTCTCTTTGCTACTTCTTCCTGATGTCAATTTAACAGCAGGACTAGCCACCCCATAGGTAAGACTTGCTTACCTGTGTGGCAGTGACCCATTTTTAAAAATCCTGTAGTTTCCTTTTTATTCTTTCCAGGTAGGCTCTACATTTTTCCCTGAAGCATTTTGATCTAGCTTGGGATGCTTGTCAGTGTTGCTTTGCTATAGCTTCGTCTATCCTTGTATCCTGCCATGTACTTTCTTAAGATGGTATTCCCATATAAAAATTCTGTCCTGTGTAAGCTCCTCAGTTGTTTTTGTTTTATCTGCCTGTTCATTGACATCTCTTGTCTGTCCTTGTTTCTTTTATTTTTTGTCCTGTGAATTAAAACCTTTTTAGTCCTTTGTTGTTTTGGGAATAGTTTAAGGAGCGATTTTTTTGAATGTGTGCTTTTATCTAAATGGGAAAATGTACACTCCTTTCTTTTCTTGAACTTTTTGCTCTTATAGAAAATGGCTTATGTTACTGTCTCTAAAGAACAATGTGGCAATCACAACTGCAAGCCCACGACACACATGGATATTCCATGAGTATAAACAATTTGTTTCTTGGTTAAACCTCTATTCTAGTCCATCAAGTGTACTGTGAAGCACACTAGTCCAGATGTTGCCTCATCAAGTAGTCTTTGTTGGACACCCCTCTCAACACTCCCTGTCACTCACTATTTTTCTTCTGAGCACTTAGCACTGTATAAAATGCAATGTATTTTATTCCTGACCCCCACTGGGGGTCAGCGTAAGTTCCGTGAGGACAACTAATTTTCTTTTGTTTAGTACCTCTAACCTCAGTGCCTGGTATATAGATGCTGAATAAATACTTGTTGAAAAATGAATGAATCTTTCTTCCTTTCTGTTAGAGTTTATAGTGATTCTTAGCCTCTTTTCCTTGACATGGAGGATTTCAGAAAGTTCATCTTCCTGGCTCAGTGTTTGTTTCTGTCTGGCTATCTGACTCCCTCATCTCCCCCTTTGTATAAGAAAGAAATTTTTCATTGACATGAAAATTGAGGTTAAGAATTCTAATTCCAATGAGCATTAGAATTTATTGAATTCCTCCTCAATGCAGATTCCATGCAGGCCTTGTCTCATCTGGCCAGAGCAGATCACTGACACAGCATTCTATTTTTCATGGCATTTTTTTAATGTTTCCCCTTGTTTATTCCCATTGTTTTCTCTTTAGGAACAATTTAGACAGATAACACCTCGTACAAATCTATCTCAGGTGTGATCTCTTTCACCAGCCATTGGCAGAACGGATATCTAGTTTGGGAGGTATGCATTTTAGTTACATTTACATTTCAGGGTACTTGGTTGACACAGGATAAATTCTTATATCATCCTATAATTAGAAGACATTCTCCCTAAATGATTCTGGTGCAGCAAAATGTTTATATCCTAAATATAAAAAAAAATGTTTATACCCTGTCAGATCATCTGGGGCTATTTACTACATGAACAAACAAGGAAGTAGAACCATTATGAGTCTTCATGGTGGTTGTGATCTCAAGTTTGACATTAAATTTGAAAAACTTGTTAAGTAGGAATTGGTAGTGATTAGTTAAGGGTCTTGAGCTGCCAAGTCATAGACCCCACACAAATGATCCCTGCATCAAGATGGCAAAATGCATCTTTCAGAAATTAGAGGAGAGGATGTTAGATATGGTGTCCTTTGATCGATGAACTAAACTTATAAGCACTCTATTCTTCTGAATGCCTTTCAAAAAAAGCAATAGCTAGGTGTTCTTTTCTTCTAAATTAGTGCTCAGCAAAATTTTTTTCTAAAGGGTGATCAAATATTTTGTTTTGTTTTGTAGTATGAAAGCAGCCATAGGCATTACGTAATAAATGAGTGTGTGTGTGTGTTCTAGGAAAACTTTATTTACAAAAGCCTAATGGATTTGACCCAGTATGCTGATCCTGCTTTAAATCAAAAGTGCTGGTTAAAAATTAGTTATGGAGCTAGTTTACTTGAGTTAAGTTTAAGAGTGTGAAAATAGTTCTTCTTTTTGGCTTAGACTCTAACCTTTTCCTTCTTATCCAGAATCAAAGCCTACTTCACCAAACCCCCCAGGATCTTTGTTTGTTACCTGTTGTTGAAGGTTGTAGATTTGACGGGATGGGGAAATACAGAGTGATAGTTCTGCCCCTTCAGTCTCACACGTCCTCTTGGTTGCTTGTCAAGTGACCAGAGAAACATTAAAAACAAAATAAAACTCCGAGCCAAATGATTTTATTCTTGAGCAGATTATGGGACATTTAACCTCGTTGATTACATTATCTTGACTGCCTAATATTTAACTTTGGACCAGTTTGATTATAAGGGCCATTTTGCCTAGAAGTATCTTACTGTGTTGATTCTTTCCTATCCCCTTGACTGCCAGTTGACTGTCTCGTTTACCTAAGTTTTTGCTTTATTGAAGTTTCTTTACTACAGACTAGTTATGAAGTTATTGTTCTCTACTATGAAAAAGATGGCAGCAGTTGTTTATTTTTTAGCATTATGTTTTTATTTTGTTAGGTGCATTTTTCTTCATCTTGGTTCTCTGGTGGTTTTTTGCCTTGACACATGTATTTTTTTTTTTCAAATGTGATTTATTAGAAACTAGTGGCCCAGTGCACAGAATTCATGCATGGAGGGGGGTTCCCTCAGCCCAGCCTGCACCCTCTCCAATCGGGGACCCTTTGGGGGATGTCCAACTTCTGGTGGTCGGACATCCCTTTCTCAATCTGGGACCACTGGCTTCTAACTGCTCACCTGCCTGCCTGATCACCTCTTACTGCCTCTGCAAGCCGGCCTGATCTCGCCTCCAACTGCTCTCCCCTGCCAGCCTGATCTCACCTCCAACTGCCCTCCCCTGCTGGCCTGGTCACTCCCAACTGCCCTCCCCTGCCAGCCTGATCTCGCTCCCAACTGCCCTCCCCTGCTGGCCTGATTGCCTCTAACTGCCTCTGCCCCCACCACCATGGTTTTGTCCAGAAGGAAGTCGATGTCTGGAAGATGGCTGGTCGACCCAGTCTAATTAACATATTACCCTTTTATTAGTATAGATAGATTATATAGGATAGGATTGCTTAAATGGGGTGTGTGTGGCAAAGCCTTTTTCAGCATGAGGAGGTGCTCTTGGCAGACAAAAATACATAATCCCTATATCTAGACTGATTGCCAGCCATATGCACTATACTGCCAAACTGGCCATTAAAAAATTGGACCACTTTCTTACACCTTACACCAAACAGCTGTTGCCCTTAAAACCCCTCCTCAGCCCCCACCTTAGGTTCTGCCTTCGCAGTTCACCCAGATTTGGTTCTGATTGGTCAGTTTCTATGCCAGTCAGTGTCAAAAGCTCCACCTCCTAGGCAGCCATCTTTGTGAGGGTTAATTTGCATATTACCTCTTTATTATATAGGATAGTCTAGCATAGGTTTTTATTGCCTATTTTAGTTCACTTGATCTGCTATAACAAAATACCACCGACTGGGTGGCTTATAAACCACCGAAAGGTATTTCTTATAATTCTGGAGGCTGGAAGTCCAAGATCAGGGTGCTAGCATGCTTGAATTCTGATGAAGGGCCTCAATTGCAGACTGATGGCTTCTTGCTGTATCCTCACATGATGGAAGGGTTAAGAAAACTCTGTCTTTAAAATATATATATTATATTATTGATTTCAGAGAGAGGAAGGGAGAGGGAGAGAGAGATGGAAACATCACTGATACGAGAGCATTGATTGGCTGCCTCCTGCATACCTCACACTGGGGATGGAGCCCACAACCTGGGC